CCCCATTATGAAGGGGCGGGGCTATGGTTTGATGAACAGCCTGTCGCTGGACTGGCGGCAAAATGGGCGGACCCAAAGAGTGCATTTGCTGCCCGCCGCTCATCCTGGGCGATGCCCGTGGGTAAGGATCACTATGCCTCTGCATCGCCGGTAAACCTGGGCCACAGCTTGGCGGAGGCGGGTAAGCAGGGTCGGTGTACGCAGGCGGTGGGTAGGCTGGGTGGGCGGGGTCTATAGTGGGCGGAGCTGGATAGCTTGTCGCCATGGTGTAAGAAGGCGGGGCCATGACCGTAGCGGGATACATTGGCTGTCCGGTTCTCAAAGTTGCGATCGTGTGGTCTAAAATTAAAAAAAAAACGTAATGAATTTTCTCTGTTTTGGAAAGAACAAAAATATAAAGAAAATACTGTAGCGCGTATTTGTATCTGTTCCCCAAAATTTTAAATATACGGCAGAGATAAACATTATATTAAGATTCAAATGAAAAGTCTGAATTTAAGAAGGAGATATCTTACCTGGAGCTGTAACAACCGTAGTCCCCGTTGCCGTGACGTTCGTGACGACAGTGTGGCGTCGCAGGTACCGTTTTCTATACCACCCAAATATTCCACCGGAACAGAGGACGATAAACAGGATCAGGCAAAACCTGGACATCAAAATATTTTTTTATATGAAAAGTAAAATACCTTCGAAGCATGATTTACTTTTATATTGATTGGACACCCATCTGAGACAACACACCTTATGTAACACATTCTAATATATTTCTGGTCTAATGAGATTTGTCTGGAGATTGTCACTATAGTGATATTGTTTCCTCATAATTACAAGTACTTGTACTTCAGCTCTCTCTCTCTCTCTCTCTCTCTCTCTCTCTCTCTCTATATATATATATATATATATATATATATATATATATATATATATATATATAGATAGATAGATAGATAGATAGATAGATAGATAGATAGATATCTGTTAAAGATCAATCAACTACCATATAAACTACTATACATGCACACTCAGCTTATCTCTTCATCTAAATAAAACGTTCCACCATGACAGAATTAGCCCAATTAGAGACAAACATGCGTGTGCCATCTGATGACTGATTTTGATTGGGATTGGGCACAGCGTATGATAAGTTCAAAATTAAAATGTGCTTAATTTGGTAGAGATAATGAGACATGTTTGTCTTTTTTTAACGTAAAACTGAACCAATCAGACTGACCAGAGCATTATTACCTACCAGAAATACCAAAGCTGGTATATGGAAAGGGTCAGTGCAGAACTGTTGCAGCACTTGTTAGACTGGCAGCAGTACTCGTAGTCGGAGCACCTGGAATAGAAAGATATGGTCATGCGTTCATGTCCACGTGTCGTTCATGTAACGTGTTCGTGCCGTCTTCGCTTAGGGGTTGCCAACTCTCAGAAAAGGGAGGTCGCCACTAGGGGTCTGTTACTAAGGGTCTGTTACAAAATTGTTGCATCGGCCTCTTCAGTTTTATAACTGACTGTGCTAGAGGTCACTGCGGTGCAAGATGGTGCGCACCCATATACTGTTCGGGCTGCCTTTATTTAGGCCTCATAGAATTGATATGTGCACTTGTTAATTCAAAGGTACACTCCATGAGATTTACCCGCAAAAAATGGATTTCCCGGGGAAATTAGCAATTTTTTTCGTACTGACGAATCATTAATCAGTCCCTGTCTGTACTTGGATTCGACCTTTGGTAAAATTTATAAAGGTTGATTTTAGCTTAAAATGATTGGCTAGTCATTATAATAGTTACCATTTACTTATAAGCTCCAATGGAAATACCAATATCAGGTACGCTCCAGAAAAAATATTTAGGGGCTGAAATGAAGGTTTTATAAGAATTTAGGGGATTTGCAAAACCGTGGAGCGTACCTTTAAGTAAACCCTGATTAAGGTAAAACAAATCTGCCTCCTGCTGTGCACGAGGTATAGTTTATATGGGACCCCGGATTTCCATTCCGAAGACTACCATCCCTGTCACACCGACCCAATGTTAAAGAGCCTATGAGTACATGTTGGTTGCCACTTAAATTTCAACAAAATTGATTCATTTTCATATTTATCATATTTATTTATTTATTTGTATATTTCTATTTATTTATTTTTATTCATTTTATAATTATTGTTATTATTATCTTTTGTAAAGGCTGAGAATCTTGCAGGTTCAGATTGTTCGAATTATGCGACGTCTAGGTGAATGTTAAGCCAGCTGCCTTTAGCGAACTGTTTTCACACCTGCTACATACAGTAGCATGATGCCGTAAATAAACTTCTACTTCACTTCAGGTAATTCAAATCCAAAATTACTGTTCAGCATCACGCAAACAAAGTTCACGCTCTCATGATCCACGATTTCCTTTTACTTCCCGATAGTGTAGGGTAATCACCCAACCTATCCTATCTCGAGTCGGACTAAACGACGATATATTAGATTAACTGATTTGTTATCCGGTGCGCTCATCGTGTTTTAATTCACTGCCAAACGAACTTACAAAATCCAGTGGTGAAAAGACAAAAAAAATATTTCGATTTAACTCACCTCACAACTGCATGCGCACAGTTCTTTTTCAATACGCGAATCAATGCCGCTTCTCTGTTGTTAGGAATATACGGCATTGCCTGAATTCGCAAATTTGCTTCTGCGTAGTTTCTTTAACAAGGTAGTTCATTTTATAGGAAAAGGACGCCCAAATCGTATAAAGTATACTTGCATACTGCACATTGCCTAGGCAACGTGTCATTAAAGGAAGCGGAAATCGCGCAACTCATTAAGACATAGGCCTACATTCGTAATTTTGCTTATTATGCATTAGCACCGCTCGTGCGGCCGTTTGTATGTTAAGACTCTGGACGGTGAATACAATATGATGAATATCTCGAATTGAATCCAGCAGTGAAATTAGTTCAATTTTCACGAAGAGGTAATGTTATACTTATATGTACACTGTCTTAATTCTGATAATGACGCACAGGCAAATGAAGCGTCCACATGCGTTCTAAACAATAGGAAAGCGGAGATCTAATAGGTTTATAATGATTTCTTTTCGTTTCTCATTCCATAAAACTTAACTCAAATGATCTGTAAAGTAACAAAAAAGCCTCGCCCACTGAAAAAATATAATGGTTATTTAAGTGACTTTGATCTGTTGCTTAACATGTCAGTTTTACTTACGAGTAATATGTGTACGAATAACTGTTTCTGCAGTAAGTGTACGCCTCAGCGATCTGAAAAAAAGACAAGAAAAAAATTAATCAAAATAATACATATATAATTTTGTTGTTATGTTTGGCTTCAATAACAAACTAATTGTTAACGGCTTTGCTCATACTTAAAAGTATATCTGAGACATTCCCTTCAAATTGAAATTTCCTTTAAAATGCACTTTTGTTCTACTCGGTAACCATTGCTTAACATATAGTCGTACTTGGTGTCGATGTCTTTAGCCATTTCTAATAGCATCATTTTGTTCTAAATGACTACATGTAGCAAGTGACTAACTGGCAGACCGCTGTGTCTTCCTGTATATACATTTCAGCAGGAAATGTGGGCATTAGGTATATACATGTATATATACACGTATATGTACAACTGAAATGTTGTAGGGTCATGAATCGAGAAAGAAGTAGTTTTTACAGGATATGTACTGGAAGACATAGAAAATATGAGTTTTGGATATTTTCAAAAACGGATAGAATACCTTTAGTATTTAGCTCATTTAAAGGCATGTCATTTCGACTGTATATACTGGTAGTTCGGCGATTTCTTCAGATTTTGTTATTTTTGTCTCAACCCTTTCAGATACCCTTTTATATTAATTTTTTCTTTTTTTATTGTTATATCACTATATCTGTAAATCTATGCTGTCAAAAGGTCACCACCACAAGTAATAAATACATCTAACAACGAACAATGAAATGGATACGTTATATGAAGAGTCAAGCAGTATTTAGATGTTCTACATTTTCATCAAAATCGATAATTCCTTCCCTGTGCATCACGGTGCTTTCTCTGCAAGACGTATCTACGTTTATGTAATATTATATGTAGAAATCTAAAGATACACCAACCCTACCGGTACCTTTCATAAATTTTTTGAAAATGTAATAAATTAGAAACAATTAAAACCAATAATAGTATGGTATATGCTGTTTCTATGGAGCAGTGGCATTTGGGTTATAGACTGGTAATCGGTCATATTTTGAGGAAAGTAATTCGCACAACGTACAATCAATTAGTGGCAGATTTAAGGGGAGTCAGGGGGTTCTGACCCCCCCCCCCCTTTGATTTCTGAAAACTAATATTCCCTTCCTGAAATTAGAATTTTGACCACCTGAATCATACTTCTAAACAGTATCAAATGACACCGTTCGCCCTCTAAAATAACAAAATTGTTCGGGCCCTTCAGTGGGCCCCGTACCCCACGCCGGGAGAAGGGGGGGAGTAGGCTTCGCATCCACGGACCCCCCCTCCCTTCAAATAATCCTGGATCCGCCCCTGATCAATCGTATGTTATTCTTACAATACACTATATGCAGTATAACAGTGACAATATTTATAAACCTGCATGAACGGAAACGACCTGATTAAGCTCACGCCAAACCTAGGTAATATTAGAAACATTTCTGTTTTTAAAAAACATACTTGTATTTAATAATGTTATCATGAGCTTTGGGGTACACGTAATTTTATAGTTACATTGATTTTTTCCATGATCTAAATTCGGAAATTGTTCTTGTATTACATGTGCGTAGTACGTAGTTATCATTCACGCTCTAATAGTCATATTTCCTATTCAAACACATTCACGATTACCCCATCAAACCATTCAAATAACAACCCTTACCTGTATTAGAGCAAACAGTACGGAAACACCCAACCCCAGGCGACTGACATTTGGAAATCTCGACGAAAAATCTCGTTGCGTTGACCACGCCGCCATTTTGGGCGGAATTGGAATTTTTCTCGTCGAGCGGTGAGGTGTTTAGTACCATACGAAGGTATAACAGTCGATATTGATTTTTTCCGTTGCGTTCCACGTAAGGCCGTCACCTGGTCCTTGTGTGTAGACTCTGTGCCTAACATTTGTGCATGGAATCGATGTCGCTGGAGTCTCCCTGTGTTATTGATTACACTGTATGAGACTGAGGGTCGATTGCTGGCACTGTTACATGTAAGTCCAGTAATTAATATAGGAGCAGCAGGAAAAATAACATATTCTAATATTCTGTGTTGGATTTGTTATGTGAGTTATAATTTTATGTTTTGAATGGAGTAGAAACACTCTTACCTTTTTATTTATTTTATTTTTTTTTTTGGGGGGGGGGGGATGAAGAATGAGTTTTTAATTACGATTAAGCGTTGAAAAAAGGGTCGATCCAGTTAGATCGATCTAGGCATGGGAACCCAGTCATAGGCTCCGGGAATGGTCTCTTATAGTGCCTAACAAGGACTTAAAACTACCTTCATCTTTTGTGGACTGGCGCTATATTGAATGTATATAGGTAGGCGGACCAGCGTATCCTACGCCTAATATACATGTACACAGTATAAAAAACACATTACTGACCTTACTGTAACATTTTTTCTGAAGGAAAAATTGAGCGCAAATTATCTTTACACTATAATAATCATTGTTTCTAATTATTGTTGCTTATTCTATCTATTTTATATATTTATCTTTTTTAATTATTTTTATTTATTAATATATTTTTATTGATGAATGATGAAAAGAAATCCATATGGTGGTGATAGATTTTGCGATAGATTTTTAAAACGTCATTGTGGGGAATTTTAGCTGGCTACAAGGAAGGCACATCGCAATCAAAGATGACTATCGATTGCGATAGAGAAGACCGTGCAGCAATCAAATTGGACAACTCTGAATTGCGACAGAGGAGACTGGCTCGTAATGAGAGACAATGCCCTTACTCTCATCATAAAGATAACTTCATGACTAGGGACATAGATATAAGGTCAGGTAGTATTAATCGCAGTCAGGCTATCGCCTTACGATACAGAGTCAATACTTTGGATTGGAATTTAGCACAAAAGGGTCATTATTTAGCCTCCTTTGTCTTAGCAGAGATATATAATTCTATGTTATGCTATTACTTACAACAGTATAAATATAATAGAGTACATGTACATTAACCTCTTATATAATAAACGCCCTTAACTGAAATCAGACGATTATTATAGTGGCATTCAATAATTTCGCTCTTTGATCAGAGATCTACAAATGTACTTGGAAATGTCATTATCTTTAAGTATAACAAATGATACATCACTCGTACCCTTATGAGATAAACCACCACGGGATAGAGATTCAGCCGGGAGAATGAGTGCTTTAAAGATAGTTGTTTGCCTTGTGGTGTTTTTCTTCGCTTTTTGTTCAGCCGGGTATAACCATACCTGTCCCAAAGTGCACGACATCCAGTCCAGTTATGTGACCAATCAGTTTAATCTGACCAAATTTCAGGGGATATGGTGAGTTAGAACTCTCTCTCTCTCTCTCTCTCTCTCTATGATTTTACATTTTAATGTAAAAACACACCATAATCGGAAGCAATAGATTCCAGACTAACCGCGATCATTGTTCTCCAGGTACGAGGTAGCCTACCACGACTACACACAGCCAAAGCTCTGCCGATGTCAGCGCTCTAACAAGCACTACAGCCCGGAGAACAAAAAGATCTACGACTACGGCAGCCTCTACTGCGTCAACAAAACCTACATCCAGAACCTGTCATTTGCCCTGACCAACGTGACAGGCTACTTTGAGGGCCACTGGCCGCTCGTCCCCACTGTCGTCTTCCCAGATACTGTGGTGGCCGTCCAGTTAGACGCTAGGGGGAATTACGTGTGGGTGATAGAGTTCCAGTGCGTTCAGGTACGTGTGTGTGTGTGCTTGCGTGTGTGTGTACGTATGTTCGTGTGTGTGCGTGTGTGTGTTCAAGTATGAAAGAGAGAGAGCGAAAGAGCTATCTAACTTACTAGAGCATTATCCTCTTAGATATAGAAATGTGAGATTTTACTGCGTGGCCATACATAGGCCTTAAAAGACTGGATAATGAGAATATGACTACTCCTTGGTTCTCTTATATTTTAGATATTCAACAGAATCGACTTCGTGGGCATCAACTTCTATCACCGGCGTAACAACGTGACTACAGCAGAGCTGGACAGCATGTTTAAGGTTGCTAGGCAACAAGGATTGGGAGAGTATATGGACTATGGACCAAAAGTTACCCTCGTGGACCATAAGAACTGCGTTTATCCGTAACAACAATGATGATGTCATTGAGAGATAATAATAATTTATCTACACACACGCGTGCACACACGCACACGCACACACACACAGCGATCGACCTTAGAGAACAGTGGTTTGGTAAAGCTTGAAATTAGTGCTCAATGTTGCTTAACCGCAATTAGCATATTTACACACACCAACAGAAAATCAGAAAAAATATTTAGATTAAATATAACCAAAAGTATTCTTATATATTCTTGAATAACTTTTGTATGGTTATGTTAGATAATAATATGACAACCATTCTGCTCTGTTAACTTTTGAAATATTGAAATGTTTGTATCGGACATAAAAGACCAAGAAACGATGAAGGGCTTTTAAAAAGAAAATATGAATTTGAATTTTACTTGGAAACCGAATAAAAATATTACTACAGAAAATGCTTTTAGTGTGTGGTTTTTACCGATGTTTCGTCATATGTCATACCGAGACCGCAGTCATTACATTCTCATATCATTCCTCTTGGAATATCTGGCAAAACTCCTGATGACAGACACGAAGGCAGTGTTTTTCTAACAAAATACACCCTGGTGCACCCATCAGGTCACAGGTGCTGTCTGTGGCCTGTCCTCTATCTGGATACTAACCTCTGATTCTGAGGGTATTGCCATTGATCACCAAAGATCGCTGATTAATCTTATGAGAATCTAAGTGAAATTTATGGAAATAACTTAATATGAAGATAAAAGAAAAGAACAAACAAGTCAGATTGTTACTTTATTTAGCCCATCCCAACATATAACTTTTTACTGCAATGTTTACATTTAAGAGAGGTCCAGGTTGAAAGCATGTTATAAAATTTTTTTTTTTGGATATGTTCTATGCACATTTTTGTTAGAAAAAAGTGTGCGTTCTATAAATACGGGCGCATATATATATATATAGGTAAAGCGTAAAGAGAAACATTTTCGGGATGATTGTATGTCATATCTATAAATATCACGTATTTTCGGAAAGTACATTATTAGCGTATTAGCGTATCCTAAATGACAACGGCTGGCGACGATAATTCGCCACTTCAAGTAACGGAGAACTCTGAGTCTCTCTCTTTCTCTCTCTCTCTCTCTCTCTCGTTACTAAGTCTTTAGTCATATTACTGTGTTTCATCCTTATTTGAACTTGTTAAGATCGATTGGAGGATATCTTAGGGACGCAGCGTATCTCCAGTGCGGCCTTGAGCCTATATGAACTTAAAGAGTCGTCCGATAATAATTGATAGATTTCACCTTTTATGACCGAACAACTCAAACTGCGGCTGTTTTAGTCATACATGCAATGTTCGCTGTCGAGGTCAATTCAAGTTGATTATTTAAGTTTACCGTGCCGCTCACTTAATTTAATTTTGTGGCCCCAAAGGACATTTGACGTACTGGTACATGTAGTTAATACTATACTACTACTTCTACTACTACTACTACTACTATTGCTACTACTACATGTACTGCTGCTGCTGCTACTACTACTACTACTACTACTACTACTACTACATTGTACTACTGATATTAATAATAAAGTCTAAAATACATTTTAAATGTCCAGTAAGCTTTACAAAATAATGATTTATGAAATGTGCACACAATATTAATGAAAAAAAACTTCAACAATCATAAATAAACGACAAAGTAAGTGGTCAGACAAAATGCACTTTATTCAGCCACTTTTTTTTTCAAATATAAGCTCACAAAATTGTCACCTGTCTCTGTGATGTCCAAGTGTACTAGAAAACTGACCCGTTAGTTAGGTCTGAAGTTGCAAAGTCGTAATTTCAGCAGGTTGTGTAATAAAGGCGGTGATGCCATATATAACAATCGTGTTGTAACACGTGGAGGGGCAATGTCAAGCACGTTAATTGCACGCGGACGTCAAGTTTACATCGAAAAGCGAGATCGTTACCTTAAAGGTTGTTTATTTTTCGTCTTCAGTCCTCAAAATGTATCTCTGAGAGGGATGGAGTAAACAGATGACGTTGATGTACAAATACGCACATTATGTCATAGTTCAATTTATTTTCACGTTATGTTGATAGTAAACTTTTTGGTGAAATAGTTTAAGACGAGGAGGCCGTCAGTCATGAATATGACATTCAACGCTCTGGAAAGACACAAAATCAAAATATATGAAAAAATTCAGTCTGTTTTATTAACTGAATGAAGTATTAAAATTTAAAAATGAATTAGTTGACCTTTCATTACATAATAAATATAGGCTCCAATCTTTTCCTCAATACATCCCTCAGTATCTTTGTACCTGATATTGACATGCTCATGACATAGGTGAATGACACATGCTCTGAACCCGTAGACAGGTATTGCGTAAAACAAATCCATATAGACCCCTACACATCAGCCTTATCACACCTTACATAAAAGTCGCCCAAGTCTAGACAGTTGGATCATTCGTGTACATCGAACTGAAAGATCTGAATTACCATGGCCATCTACAGACTTTCACTGTGTACGCTATTGTTCATAATATTTGTTCGTTGTGAAAGTCTCACCTGTCCTAACATGGAAGACATCCGGACAGAGTTTGTTACTACTCAGTTTAATTTGACCAAGTTTGAAGGGGTTTGGTAAGTTGTGTTAATTGTTTTATTTCTTTTTTCAAAAACAATTTGCCAGTGTCTGACGTTGCATTCTCCTTAGAAAAAGAACGGTTCCCTGTAAGGTAGATGTATAGGTCATTTAGACAGACATGAAACAAAATGCAAAATGTATATTCTTTCGCATGAAAATCGTACAGCTATTGTTGTTGCTATTGTTTTTTTTTTTTTTTTTTCGACTAATACATACTTTATTCTTTCTAAAAATCCCGTCAATCATAGAGCAATTCCTTTCATTCTAATTTTACATTTGTTTTATCTTTAGGACATTATTGATGGATACATGAGCCAATTCAAGAATATCAATTTTCTACCAATTTAATTATTAAATTGATGATTTATTTAATGCCCTTCGTTCAGTCTCTTACTTTCTTGCGTCTAAGCTCAGCAGTTAAAACTCAGTAAACCACGTTTCAGGTATGAAGCCGCCTATCATGATTACACTATGCCGTCCTCATGCCGTTGTCAAAGATCAAACAAAGTATACAAACCAATGGCGAAAATGCTGTACGATCACTTCAGCGTCGAGTGCATGGGGCTTCTCTATCTAAACACGCTTCACGTCAAGGTCACCAATGTCACAGGTTATATGAAGGTCACTTGGCCGCTTGTACCATTCATAACGTTCCCTAGCACGGTGGTGGCGGTGCACGTCGATGGAGGCGGCAATTACGAGTGGCATATTGATTTCCAGTGTGTTCAGGTACGTTATTAGTTATAGCGAACATCTAATATTGGTTTATTAGATCTTAGGTTATAGGTTCGTTATCATCATCAAGTGTCAGGCATGGAGCAGGCATCGGCGATCAGTCCTCCAGTTTACTCTATTTTCAGTGAATTGGATGAGCTCGTTATTGTACAGTTGTTACTTTGTTGCGAAGGCATAGGGGCTATCCATGTATGTTGTTCTTCGTTTAACTCTACTTCTTCTTTCTTCAATTTTTCATAAATTTTGCATTTATGTTTTATTGTTAATTTGATAGTATTAACACAATATTTTAATTTCTTTATTTACTTAATAAATGTTTTGTGAACTTTACTTACCTCAAGAGGATCATAGACAAATTAATTTACCATGTTTTTGCCACCAATAATTATGATAATTATTATTATTATTATTATTATTATTATTATTATTATTATTATTATACATTCCACTCAACTTATTTCAGGAGATCAATTTTGTCGGTATTGGATTTTACCACAGGCGTAATAATCTCACGCGGACTGAGATCGACACCATGTTTACAGTTGCTAGGCAACAAGGATTAGGAAAATATTTGGACCATGGAACAAAACTGGTTGTAACCGATCACAAATGTTGCAAATATCCCAAAGAGTTAAAGTTATAGCCGAGTGTTCCCATTTTTTTAATTTAAAAAAATATTTACATAACATATGTTATAGTTCAACTCTTTTAAAAATGAACTTTAGATTTGGAAAAGGACTGATTGAACATTTTTACATAGACGTTAATATAACCCTACACATCGAAAGACTGTCATATTTTAAAAAACTTAAATATATGTCGATTTGTTTACTGCTTAAATCCAACTGTGAGTATAGCGTCAGATTTCTAAGGCAAGCTGTCCATGTTCGATACCCACAAAGGAAAGAGGAAGAAGTCCTCGATCCTAGTTACAGAACTAGGTTACGCAGACGATTTTGGCGTGATACATAGAGACCGTATATTTTCTACAAAATATAATTTAAAAATAATTGACAGGCCAAATAACACGCCTCCCTTTGTACATGTAGTACGTTTTATATTCATGTCATGAAAATTATTCAAATAAAGTCGTAAGTTACTTGCAAAATAGCAAACTTCAAAAAAAATCATGTGTTCCCATTGTTTTAACACATTACCTGGCTTTCGAGAAAGAGAACCGCCATTCAAAACGCAGAAATCGAAATTTATTGAAATTATAACTTTAAAATCTTATCTTATTTGTCGCCCTAACAACGTGTTTTCAGTTGCAATCATGAGCAAGTCATCTTAGTACGATTTCATATTTGTGTGTAATGACAATAGCAATGGTTTTACTCTTTCGCCAACTTTTTTTCATTGTACTATCTCTCTCAGATTGGGTTGTCTGCATATTGTATCATCGATCACAACCGTACTAATCAAGCACTCTGTTTTATTAAAATGACAGGGGGTCGGGACGGTAGACACCGACTGTTGAAAACACTCTATCGACGTCTACTCGTTTTTATGGGCGATGATTTATTGTCCTGACCCTGTCAATTTCACTCAATCCTTCTTGCTCGCTCATTTTATTTCATTTCATTTCAATAATGTATATTGTTTTTACCATGGATACCCATTAGATAAATATTATTGTGCATGGTGTGACATCGCACATCATCCAATCAGGCGGAATGAGTAGGACTGTGGGTTTAGAGATAATCACAAGATGTTAGTAATTAGAACGCAAATCATTGGAAAAAAATTTTTTCTTTTTGCTATTTGGTTTTTATTGAATGTCCCGTTGTGTAATATAACGTTTATGCATTAGGAAGACAATGGTGGGTTCTGAATATCAAATTCTGGCATTTTTTGAAAAGAGGTTGAGCATATCCTTGTAAAGCGAAAAAGGTTTCGCTACACGGTACTTTGTCTGAAAGCTATTCCAACAAGAAAAAACACTTAATCAAAATAATATATAAAATAGCAGTGTAGATTCTTTTTCAAAAATAGATGCAAATACTTCAACAAGACAGACTGTTTTAACCATACTACTTTTATAGTGA